GCTAAGCCAGTGCCTGGGGCGAGCGCGTCCAAGGTACCCTGGCAGAGCCCCTGCGTGCTTCTAGCGATAGCGTGGGAGAAGGACCTGGTTGGGTTTAGCTTCTTCTCCTGACGGCTTTAAGAAGAGAAGCGGCTTTCACACATGAGTTGTCATTAGAAATCTGGTTACTGCCAAAAACTGATAACGCAGTTGAATGACTGACGATAAAAATCGAGAGGGGGTAGGAATTCTCGCACTAATGGTATTTTTGTTAACTGCTGTCGTTGGTTTGTTGCTAAAATTACCACTTTTTTTTGTTGTTCAAAGCCTTGCTCAAGCAAAGCCTTGTGTAAGGATAAATGCTGGCTCCAACAGGGCGCCTCTGAATCACCCCGTGGGTTTTGGGGCAGGCTTTGCAGTTGTGGGACAGTGCCGGGAAAATGAATTTGAACTTGAAAAGACTGTGCAAACTGGGCTTGGGGTAAGGCTTTTTTAGGGAGAAAATGATCATTTGAATTTTGCCTGGAAACCGAATGGGGGATATGCCTGCTGGGGAAAAAACAAAACAAAACCGCCACCAAAAAAATAAACACAACAAACCACAAACCTTTATAAATTAATTTTAAGATAAGTGTCTCTCTTAATGATAAGTCAAATAAGACTTTTCAAAGCAAACTGAAGGTGAAACTGCAATATTCTCATGATTTGTCTTTATGAATAATTTGAGTGGGGCTTTGCACTGATTGCCAACCAGTATCCAGATACTTGCACTTTTAAAAATGCCTAGTTATACCATAATACTAAGTGAAGTTTTTTGCAGGGGATTAGGGTATTACAATGTTAAGGTCAAAATATAAGACTTATGAGAGTTGTTTATATAGACCTAAAAATGCATTGACTTTGATTAAATATCTCGAGACTCTAATTTATAAGAAAGAGGACTGCAAATCAGGAGTTAAGATTATTACAAGGGATTTGTGGTTTTTTGTCGTTTGTTTTGTTTTGTTTTTAATTTTATTTTAATGCTATTTCTGGTAAGATGATTGAGTTAGTGTTGAATTATGTTTGATAAAAGCAAAATGTTCAGCAACTGTGCTACTTACCACAGAGAACTGCTAACTCAAAGAACCGTTACCTTTCATAAAGGGTAACTCCTCCAACTGGTGCTATATGGCTGTGATTTTTTTTTGTTAATTAATAGTGTTTAAGTCTGAAGAAATGATTTATTATATTGTCTCTTCCAAGTGTGCATACTGTTTATGCACAGGAGCTTAGAGAGTCTTTGATTGACCTTTTTTTTTTAATTAAAAAAAAAAAGTCAAAGGTCTCTAAATCATTCTTCCTCAAATAGACTAGAAGTATATAAGCTAGAACAACCACTGGGGGTTGGAAGTATTCCTTCGCATATAAAGAAGTTTAAGCCATGAATTTAGGTTAATTAATTAATCAAGATGGAAATGGAGCTTTTGGGTTTTTTTTGCAACCCTTGAAAGTTAAACTGATAAGACGCTGTCTTCTGGACTTGACAATTGTTTCCAGTTTGTCACTGCTGCTGCTCCTCCCAGTTTTTCCCAGTAGCTGTAGGGTTAAATTGACAGGACTCTGTCAGGTCACAGTTGATTACCGCAGGGAAATAAAACAGTTCTGATAATTCCACCTGGGCCTTGCAAAAGCTGCCAGCACCTTCGATCATGGGCACGGCAACAGCTCTGAGTAAAGGGATCCAAAAATCAAGATACAGTCATTACATCTGTAAAACCCCGTTTTTTTAAATTACAGTGTAGTCTTGTGTCCGTTTGATGGGCAAGTCCTCAAGCAACTACGAACAGGAATATTCAGGCTTTTCTTAATGCAATATCTCGTTTAAGAATATTGTACTAAGATAACAGAAGGTTTATTAAAACTGATTTGATTGTTTTGTTTCCAGTTCATCTGAAGATAAGCTTTGTCAAATATTTCTTGTCTGTGATCGTGTCTTTTGATAGAAAATCTCATGTTGTTGATAACAGGAAAAAAGTGGTAACTTAAGGGATTTATGCTTTTCTTAGCACCTTGAAGGGAGGAAAAACCCCAAAACTATGAGAGCTTGTTATTCTTCTATTTGCTTTATACAGATGTCTCACTTTACGAGTGAAGATGAAGCTCTGTTACAGTCTATGCTTAGGCAGTTGCTGCAGAGTGTGAAGGAAAAAATCACTGGAGCCCCATCAGTAGAATGTGCAGAAGAGATTCTCTTGCATTTGGAGGAAACAGATGAGAATTTTCACAAGTAAATATATTTTTGCTATTTTTAATATTTTGAAGGAGGTGAAATGTGTTGAACTATATTATTCCTGGGAAATGTTTACGATTTATATTGCTGCGTGAATGTGTATGTATTTATATATATAGACATTCCTGTCACTAATCAACTCTAATTACTAAAAGGTGCTAATTTAGAGAATAAAATTAATTTTGCCATTTTTCTGGTTTGGTATTTTTTTCTTTTTTTTTCACTCTGGTAATGTATTTTTACTGTAATAGTAGTTGATGAGCTGTTTGTGAGAGAGGAACTTACAAAACTACCTAACTTAGCCAACTCTGATGCATGTGTACATGTAATGTACTAAATGCACACACAAACAGAAGCTAGAAGAAATCCTCACTGAAGGCTGTCAGGCAGTATCTTTGACACCTGCTAGACAATATAATTTTGTTTTTCAAAATAAGGTAAATTTTCAGAAGGCTACTTGGCTTCCATATTTGATTGTTCTGTTTGGCTTGTATTACTGAACCCTTGTATATCTTACCAGGTAGTCGTTCTTTTAATTTATGTTTTGAATAAAGCAGAAATGTATCCCCATCACACTTCTGTAAAATCAGACTTGACAGTGTGACCTCACTTACATGCGATCTAGATTTCTGGAGGCCACACTCCTCTTTCCTTTCCATGATATTCTAACTTGTTTATTTTTTTACTACATGGGAGATTTTTAGTATGCATTATGACAAGTCAAGAGAATATCAAGCTGAAATGACCTTGAAGACATTTTAATAAGGACCAGAGTTCTGTGACCTGACTTCTTCTGAGAAAGCTGGTTCCCTGCCATTTTTTTCAGAAGTGGCACTGTCTACATTCTCTTAAATTTGTCTAGTTTTTAGCATTGCTTTGTCAGTGGTAGAAGTTAGGTAAAAAGTGAAATAGAACTAGGGTTTATCTAGAATTTCACTATAATTTTAAAACTTGAATGCTTTTGTGTCTTCTGAAGATGCTAAATGCTTTAAAATGTGTCTTAGCTCAATTTTAATTTGTATTACAAATAGTATCAGGTAACACTATTATTGGCAGTCTTGTGAATTTTGAGCATCATGTTACCAGGTGACAAGCATGAGAATAAAAAAGCTGGTTATAAACATCAAAGTTGAAAATTACATGTAATTTTGAAAGAAGAACATTTTTATTTAAAGGAAGATACCTACAGTAAAAAAACCCAAACAACCAAAAACCTATGAAATTACTTCTGTCAATATTTCCTCTGAGGACTTATTAGGAGAATACCCAGAATGAGGGCATGAACTCTACAACTAGTGGAAACAATGCATACATAGCTTTCCTCTTTAGAACAGTGAAACCATGGCATTCGTTATTCTTTCTGGTATGTTAAAAAATTGGTGATCCTAAAGATACTTTCTTTTCATGAGAAAAGTTTTGACTTACATTTAATGGAAAATCAAGTGATGCTTTAAATGCAGAATGTGAGCATTACTCTCTGGTGCTGGAATATTTCTGGAGGTGTTCTAGTCTTGTTCATGACCCATGGCAATATAGGTTGGTTTTCATGGAAGGTCAGACAGGTCATAAGGCAATTTATTAGTGAGACCATTAAGAAACTTTCTCCTTGACCCTTACCCCATCCATCCAGACTGCAAGCTCCTTTGTTAGTAGTGTGTGCTTTTGGATTGTGCCATACGCTAGTTCAGCTCGGCATTTTGATCAGCACTGTTTCTGCCTTGTAGTTATTTTGCCTCAGTAATTTTATCAGATTTTGAGTCCTTTCTTTATCCTTTGTTCCCACTTTGATGTAGAAAAGACAGAAACACAGGATCCTCAGAAAGCTAATAAAAAGGAAAGTTGAATAAAGTTCAAAACTTAGGTGCAGTAGTAGAAATCAGGATCTTTAGCTATATAAGTAGCATGTTTTCTGTTGTATTTTTTCCTTAAGTTAAAGTCCTAGAATTTTTTTAACAATTTTTTTTTTCCCTGATGCTTCCTTTGTAAGCCCAACCAGATCAGTCTGACTTGATTCTGTATGTGAAGAAGTAGTTCTATCATTGCTAAAATACTTATTTGTTACAAAACATTTTTAAGGTGGAAGAATGATGCAGAACATTAAGGCTAGGACATCAAGCAGACATAAACTTAGTGGCATGAATAATGATGTGATTGCTGTGTATTTCAGAGCGAAGCAGTCACTGCAAAAATGTATACCCTGGAAATGTTACTGTCATAAAAAAAATGGGAGAAAGTTTTATGAAAGCTTTCATTCAGTGGAGAGTTGTGCGCAATTTCATTATTGCAGAAGTAAAAAGCCAGCCTTGAAGACAAATGAAAATAACCACATTTGCATCTTTCTTGAGATGTATTTCTGTTACTTTCACTGAGAACAAAAGTGATGTAGGAATGGAAATAAGTGTGAAATGGAAAAAAAAAAAAGAAAAAGAACCGTTATACCTGATGGAACTTGAGGTAGACAATCCAGTGAGGAAGTATGTATCATGATACAAGAAACAATTTTCCGTGTATCTTGAATGTAGTCTATTTGGGTTTTGTTTTGTTTTGGTTTGGTTTTTTTATGATATCCAAGAAAGGCAAAAGCTGCTGCCTGTTGCAACAGTTGCTTTTATTTATCTTTGCATTTTATGGCTTTGGACTTCATACCTACATACTGAACTGACTTTTTTATTTTAATTTTTCTCACTCTGTATTTGTCCAAATTAACACAAAGTAGTTGCACATCTGCACTTGATATAATGAAAATATAATGATGCATCTACTGTTTATGTATGATTACTTTTTTTGTGTGTTTCTGTTTGCCTTTATACAAATCAGAAGACTAACCAAAAAAAAATTTATATATTCTGAGCACTACTTTTTAGCAATTTCTGTAGCTAATACAGAGTCTGAGGACCCAGTGAGAGTCTTTTGTTTGAAATCCTCCTCTGATTATTTTTCTGTTTAAACAAGTTTTGTGAGTATCTAATAAGAGTGCAGAGTGCCAATTTCCTTACATTTAACATGTATATGTAATCACAGACAGCTAGTTTATCAGTTTGGCTGAGTGAGATCTTCTGCATACTGTCATGACACACAGACTTTCATAAGGCTTAGACATGCTCATATGCTAGAATTTATAAATTGTATTTTCTGTGTTTCTTCTCATTTTGTATGTATACTGCATAAATAATAATACCAGATGGATATACCATGAGACAGAGCAGTGTTCAGGATGCTCCAAGTAATATTTCTTTTGGAATTTTAAATTTTTAAATTTTAAAGATTTCTTGATATTCTGTGATTTTTGTCTACAAAACCTTAACCTTTTGTCTGAGTAGATTTTTACATTTAGAAGAAGCACAAAAGGAAATTAGAAACTATTTGGTATTGTTTCTTTCTGGAATGTTCTGATAATGACCATATTGAAGAAGATAAAACTTTATTGTGTTTTTTTACACCATTGAAGTTTATTTCTCTGCAAGTCATAAACCCTTACCCTAAAGTAACAGGTCTGCTGGGAGAGAAGATAGCGAATATTAATATAATGTTGAAAATATTTGATGGTGAGCTCAAGGAAATCTGTTACATTTTAATTTTGTATCTTTGTTGCAGCTATGAGTTTGTGAAATACCTTAGACAATATATAAATAATACTGTGGGATCTGTGATTGAAGAAGAAACAGAAAAATGTACTTCTGCTCAAAATCAGGGTGAAGTATCTGGCTATGACACACTTGTCCAACATGTTACTAAGAAGACCCGTGAGTCAAAAGAGTGAGTATATACATGTAATTCACATTTTTGTTTCTACTTGGTCTATGTCTTTCTCCGTTCCAGAACTTGTTTGGAAAAATAAATTCCGAACCAATGGGTAACAAAAGTGATTCTTTGCTTTCAAAAATCAGCGCTAAGCAATTCAGATATTCCCACCCTACATTGCAATTTGTCATGCTTCGTCTCACTCTGGAATTAAGTTTATGAACTATGGCATAAAAAGATTGGTAGCAAATCTATGAAATTTTTGAGGTATCTAGGACTGGAGTTGGGCAGGGGTAAGATTTGAGAGAAGAATCGTACTCTTCGTACTATTTCACTAGCTGCAAATTAAATTCAGTTGTGATATGGAAGTTGGCCTAAAGGAAAAATTGGTTTTATCAGGTATTAAAGTTTGATAATTTCCTTAGATATAAATGGAGAGTCTGCATGACAATGTTGTTTTCTAAAACAAACAAACAAACAAAATTAGAATACATGTGTATTTTTATAATTAAGATTGTTTCCTTGAGATCTAGCCAGGTGCCCTGTAAAAGTAGTATGTTTAGTCAGATCTGCTTTCATTGACTAGTTTAAAAATTGAAGTTTGAGCTATCTTGCTTTGTATTTTAGTGTACATGCAAAGATACTTCTGCGGTGCTGTGTGTATAATGTAGAATTGGTATGTGGACCAGCTGTGTATAATTATCCAAGATTTTTTGACTCAGACTGTCAGATGGCCAGAAATCAGTAGGTGTGCAAAACCACATATCAGTGTATTACAGGGTCTATGGTCCAGATTAATTGGCTTTGAATACCTAATTTAGTAAAGAAGCCTTAAATAGAAGAAAACTCTGTGAGTACCAGTTAAATTCTTTTCTTAGTCGTCGCTTTCCTACTAACTTTATTCACCTTCCTATGGACGTTAAAATAACTTTTCCTTGGAACACAGAGCCTGGTAGCTCTCTTACTGAATTTTCATGCTTTGGATTTCGAATTTGCATAGGCAGATAATTGCCGTGATTCTTTAAAGCAGTGGTCAGTAGTACTTTTAAGATATATTTTAGTGTATACAGCTATTATTTCCAGAAAATATGTGAAACTTTGAAAGTTAGTCTATGCATCGCATTGTTTTTGGAATTCCTGTACAAAATCTAACTATCATAATGCTTAAAGCAGTTCTAAAAATATTGTTTCTTTAATTAAAACAGACAGTATACTTTTGTCATCATAGTGAATCAGGTCCTTGCCTCTCTATTTTTAATTCTCATGGAGAGCCATGATGAGGGCTTTACTGAGGTTGAACCATTACAGTGTGAAAACAATGAAATTGAAGTAAGCACCTGAAATGGTGAATGTTGGAAAATAAAAAACAACCAACCAACCCTCCACTATTTTAGCATCAGTGGTCATACTTATGTGTTGCAGAGGAAGAAAACAAAAAAGACAATTTTCGACTCTTGTATATTTTAGCCACTAAAATGATTTTATACACTACTTCAGCTGAACTGCTTTTTTTCACTCATTTTTATTGCACAATCTTAATTTCTTCTCCATCTCTCCTTTTAGTGGAACTAGGATTTTATTGTGATGCCTATTGTTTACTACGTGTCCTCAGTAAGAAAGGGATTAAAAAATAGTGTACGTTTCTGTTCTAGAAGATTTTATTTTCGGTTTGTTTTCAGAAGGTTTCTTATCTAGAAGTACACAGAAATATGTTTTATGAACCATGCTTTTGTAGGGTCCTTTTCTTGTCACGTGTCTGCAAGCATTCTGAACTCTGATCGAGCATCATTGGGTCTCACTGTGATGGTCTTGATATCATTTCAAGATTGTTCAAGGTTTCATTTTGTTTATTGCAATTACTCATTTTCTGTGGTAGGTAGTATGCTTAACGGTATTTATGGAGAAAAATGTATTAAGGAATTTAACTCCTTAGTGATACATTCTTATTTTCATAGTACAGTCATTTATGTTAGAAAGCAGTTCTTAATCACTTGACTTTTATTTTCACCTAGAAAATAGATGTTAGGATGACTTTTTCAGGTTATGCTGTTTGTCTTTTTGTTTCGAGGATCAGGATCTTAGGGTTCTTGTGCTCACTAAAGTTGGTAGAAGCAGCTCCACTGAACTGAATATGTCTGTATCTTATATTTTTAATTTGAGAGGTAGGAGGATATTAAAGCACAACATGGTAATTTACATCTTTGGTGACTGTAAAATAAGTAATAATAGCCTTAAAGTAAAAAATAATTTGAAATAAAATAACATTTTATAATAGGATATTTTTCTGAAGCAGCTTTATTTTGAATTGCTTCCTTGTGGATATTATTACTCAATTTATGTAACTTAGAAAACCCCTGGTTTTGTTGAAAGAAAATTATTTTGTATGCATGACCTGTACTCAAGATCTTGAATCAGGATGATGTGTTCTCTTCTATTGGTTCTGCTTGAGGCTTATAGCAGAAGAAAAATTGGATGTTGAACTTGAAGAAATATAAACAGTAACAACGATGAGAACTGGCCTGTTTTCTCAGGGACAGATTCTCCCTTTTGGTGGATTCACATTGTTCTTTCTTAAGAACCTCCCAGAACAGGATTATGTTAGTGGTATTTCATTGAATGGTTTTAGAAGGGCAAAAAGGAATTTTGTTATAATTTTAAAATATAGTTATCTGAAACATTTAAGGTATGTACATGTTTTGTTGCTCATTTTGGATTTACATTTGTTTTTCATTCATTTCTGTAAATTCAGTGGGTTCGGGTCTAAGTAGCATTATGCTATATTCAGTTATTCACGATTTAGTGAATTATTTTTTAGTGATTTTTATGCTCTTTAACATCAAAATCATCTTTATTTTGAAGATACAGGGAAATGATGCATGCCTTGAAGAATGTCATGATGGTTGTGGTAGAATCTTTGATTAACAAGTTTGAAGAAGATCGGATGCGTAACAAGGAGCTGGATAGTAAAACAAAGGAAGAATGTCAGAGTGGCTATTATACAGACAACTGTTCTGACAGTGACTCCTCGTTCAACCAGGTACAATGTGTTTTCTCTCTATGTTACAAAATAAGCATGGTACTGCAAAATTGTTAAGTTTCTGTCAGTGGAGATTGAGAATCATAGAATCATTAAGGTTGGAA